GAGACAAAAAAACAACACAACGGCATTTCTACTTCTATTTCCATTCTATTTTAACGCTAATATGTAGGACAAAAAACTAACAGATTTCGGTATAATAACAAATCATCGTCCACCGAGCCCGAGACGAGTCACGAGTCAAGAGCCACGAAATCAGTTCGATGCCCATTTTATACTTTTTCTCCCCCCTCTCCACCTACCCCCGCCCCTTTTATCCGTGTGCCCTGATTTCTCAGTTTTCCCCGCGATTTTCCTTCTTCGTGTCTCTTCTCCGCCTTGTTCTCGGGACAGCTCGACGCGACGAAATATATATATAACAGGTTGTCGGCTCTGACGACCGTCGTTCCTCACTTCTCGATCGTCTCTTCCTCGCTTCGCGACGATGGACACGCAACAAAGTGGCAGAAGAAGAAAAGAAAAAAAAAAAAAAAAAAAAGGGAGAAATCTTTCGAAGTCTACGTGCCTCGTTCTCGATCGAGACACCCGTTTCCCCGACCTTCGTCGCTCTCGCTCTCTCGATATTACGTCCGACTCTCGTTTCCCTTGTCGACCGTTCTTCTCTCGACAATCGATAATAATAATAATGACGCATTGGCAACAAACCGCTGCCTCTTGCAGCTCTTACAGTTACACAGTGGATTTTGGAACGTCTTCGTTTTGCGAGAACCCTGGTCTGGTCCCGGATATCGAACACCCCCCCCCCCTTTGTCACTGTTTCGTTTATCGTCCGGGTTTATCGACGCTGTTTGGCAGTGATGATGACGCGCGTTGCTCAAAACGACTCGAATGCCACGTTCGACTGTCCGGTGTGTGCCCGGTGTCTCTCTCGTTCGTCGAAACAGAGAAAGAAAACGTGGCGCGTCGAACGAGTCGAAAGCAGCATCCGATCTTTGTATCCGATTGTGGTGGGTTTCTCGAGGCACGATACGTAAGGATTCTCTCGATCGCGCGGTTTTGCACTTATATCATATATATGTATCTCGGGTTCTCCATGCGACGTTTGGGTGAAAAAAAAAAAAAAAAAAAAAAAAAAAAAAGAGAA